TCCTACCAGGTGCAGGGACAGATGGGCTGTGGGAAGGCAGAATGGTATGACGCCTATAAAAAAATTTCTGATCTCACATTGAATTGTCAACTGACCTACGTGGTGAAAGACTTGAAACCATGCTGTGCCGTAGAGATGTCCAACACTACAAAAACTGGAGTTGCAGGCAAGTCCTTTTGCTGAATACACAGAATGAGGAACTAACATTTCAGTAGCTGTGTCATAGCTGGATGCAGCTACATAAGTTGGAAAGCTTTGCTCTGTCTTTTTTTTCCCCCCCCCACAAGAATGGCTGTTTCTTAGAACTGTGTTAACCTGTTAGACTGAGCTTTGCTAAAGCAGCATCTAAAGCCGTGTGATGCAAGCATAGAAGAGTCTCATGAGAAAAAAAACATAGAAGTTCCTATACGATGTGTAAAAATATATCTTCCTCAACTTTAATGCAGCCGAGCCTCAAATTTTTCTACCAAGTTACTCTTCAGAGAGTGATTTTCATTTTAACTATCATTAATTTTTTAATCACATATTGGTTTTTCCCATGCATTTGCTGCTTAAAAATGACTTTGATCAGAAAAATTATATGGAGATTAGAGAATGAGTTCACAAATGAAAGAAAAGCATCCCACTGCATTATAAATGTTATGTGAATAATATCTCTCTCATCTATGCTGCCATTAAAATGGCATAGTGCTTCATGTTGCCAGCTAATGCCAATTGTTATCAGCACCCTAGCTACTTCTTTCAAGTCAATTTAGATGTGGTTACGTGGTGCTGGGTGTTAAATACAGGCTTACCATGCACTATCACTAACAGCCTCCATCTGAATGTAGAAGAAACTTGAGTGTTTGGCTTCTTTAACCAATGCACATGCCTTCTGTTTCTACAATAGCTTTTGGAAGCTATGAAAAAAATATCTTTGTGGATAGCAATACAAGGAATATAGTAGAGGAATGATCCTTACTGTAGTAAGGAGTAAAGAGGGAACATGAAGATGATTAATGCATTGGAGCATCCAGGGGGACCAAGAGCCTGAAGATGAACTTCACCTTTCAAGGTATTTAAACCCTGACAGGACATTGTCCTTGGGATCCTGATCTATGTGACCCTGCTTAAGCAAGTAGAATTGACTAGCCCATCTCAGAGGCCTCTTCCATCCTTACTCACTCTATGAAAGAATCTCTTCATTCCTGAGATATAAACACATTATACTGAAGAGCAGTTTTGTTCCTCTTTTCATTGTATGTAGACAGAAAAAAAAAAACAAGCAGTCCATCTAAAACAGACTGTGCCAGCTGAGAAGAAAGCATTCAAATGACCTGGAGAACACCCACACTTTTCTCATTTCACCAGCACATTGTGAAATTTGTGCCTGATTGTTACTGATGGCACTCATATTGCAGCAGTATTCGCACATAGCACAAGCTGGATCCCTTTGGCTAAGCACATGCATCCCTATGTAGAGACATTGTGTGGCTCTTTTCACCATTTTTACCCCCCTTCAAATTTGAGCTCATACATAGTTGTTAGAGGTGGAACTAAGAGAATAAATAAAGACACCCACAGATTTTCATCAGGAAGACTGCCAAGAAGAATCAAGCAAATACAAGAGTATAATCAAAAAATATTAGGATGCTATAATCACAAAATAAACAAGAGTTAGGCAAAGCAGACTACGATAACATAACAGAATAAATGGAAGGCTTACCCCTAGCCTGGGCTCACTCACAAAACAGCAGCAGAGACCATCTCCAGAAGAGATCCTTTCCTACTAGTAGCCAACTCTTAAATAGGTCCAGGAGGGGTGCAGCCAGGCTCCCCCCCTTCCAGCAGGGCAGATGAATTGCTTTCACCTGTGCTTCCCTGGCTGACTCATGGCTTGCCTCAGGTGATCCATCAGAGGTTCAGGCTGTAACCCAGCAGTTCCCATACAACAAGCCAGTCTTGTCATCTTGCTAAAGAATTTTTAAAACTTGAACGATTCTAGTCACTTCCATGAGGTAAACAGGTCTACCTGAGTCATACTTTGAGGAAGTCTACACTTGAATTCTCCTTACTTTCTACAGGAACCTCAAGGAAACTTTCTGCCTTTATTTTAAAAAAAATTAAGAAAGTGGTTGACCTTACTCTTCCCTAGTAACTTAGAATCTTTTAAGAAATAATGAGATTAAGAAATTCAGGCAGTAGCACAGAATATTGTACAATCAATGGGTATACAATCAATACACATACAGAGCTTATGCTAAGCAAGATTATCACAGTGGAAAGATAATAAATAAAAAATACTCACCAATGCAGAAGGCTCACAAGAAACTCCACCACAAACAATATCCAGAAGGATGGCCTTCCTCTGTGGCAGTCAGTATTTAAATGGGATCTGGGAGAGGTGAAGCCAGGCTCCACCCCTTCCATTTGCCCATGTGAATTGCCTTCAGCTGTGCTCCCACAGCTGACTCATTGCCCAGCTCAGGTGGTCAATCAGAGGTTCAGCTCTGATCAACAGTTCCCATACAAATGTATACAGGGAAAGTTCTTTTAAGCCATAAATCACATCCCAGTGATAGAAGCTGAAACATGTTAAGGTGACCACAGCGCCACACAACCCTAGAAGCATGCACATGGCTTGAAAAATTAAAAAGAAATCTGTATGCATCCAGGACTGACCGGATGTACTCAGCTTCATGCTGACTTTCTGACTAAACCTGACAATGATCTAGGAATCATGTTCTCTAGTTGGGTGTAATCCTTTGATATTGTGAGATCACAGCCATTTAGTGTGGTTGTGATGACTCTAATTTCTGGGCTTGTGCTGAAGAAAACAAATGTATGCCAACCTTCTTTTTGCATACTAGCTAGAGTAATGTCTTCATAGGCAAAAATACAGGCTCAATTATTTACTTGGTCTGATGAAAGGGTTTGGTTGGTTTGACTGTGAAGCTCTTAGCGAAGTTTTGTCTGCCACTGATTTGGACTGAAATGGGAAGTTTTAAATGCTCAGTTATATTCTAAAAGGCATCAAGATATGATGCAAAAAATGAATCCAGTATTGTGACTGGGATGCGTAATTGAAGGCGCTGCCATCTAAGAAATTTCTGTACTTTGATGAAGTTACATGCCATTCTGCTAAATCGTCTATGCTATTCTGAATAACAGAAATACAAGGAAAAATGTTAACAGCCCTTCCTATCAGTCGCATGCGGAGTTTGCAAACTTTAGAAGTGCACGCTGGTACTGAAGAGTGACTCAGAAATCTTATGAAAGATCTCCTGTGCTCAGAAGATTTATAGAGCAAGGAGCCGGCAGGGCACTAACGTCATCAGTTAAAAAGAATGAAATGGCTGAACCATCCATTCCTGCCTTCTGTGCTTTCAGTCTTAAATACATACACGGACAAACCACGTTTGTATATTCTAGTTTGTTTCAGAATAAAAAGGAACAAGCATTCAAAACAAGAACATTTCATCCCATCAGTAGATTTTATTTATGCAGATTATTTATATAGAATAGATATGGCAACATCCGTTACATTTTAATTTTTTTCTTTGTTATAACAATAATCAATCAAAGTGAATGTACTGCAGGAAAATCTCCCTGAGTGACTGGCTTCCTACCAGAGTTACCAGTCATGACAGAAAATGTAATTATTAGGTCCGTGGCAAATGCTTGCTTTTTCTAGATATTAAGTTTTATCAGTGCTAATCCTTAGAGGCAATAATTCCCGAAAAAAATAACCTGTCCAAATATGAAACTGAACTTAAATTTATTTTGCACATTTATTTTGTCAGGTGCACATAGAGCACATGCAAGGAAGGGGTATTTTTGAGGTGAGAGGGTATGAAGCAAAAAAATGTCTCTAAATGGGTCCTTTGCTTAGGACCCTCCAAATCCTTCACTCTCTGCAAGAAGCATTAGACAGAAGTTATAGACAGTCTGGTGCTCATGGCATTATTCATCAACCCCCATTACATTGCTCATGCACATCTTAATTGCTTGGGCTGTATAGAAGAAATAATCAAAAGAAGAAAACATGAAAAGAGCATTTCAACTGGAAAATACATTAATAACTACTTCTAGACTTCTGCTCTACTATTTTGCATAGAACTACCATAACATATAGATATTATTTTTTTGCATCAGTGGCATAGCGTTGTGTGTAAATATTGATTTTTTATTTGAAAAAAGATGTTAATCAAGCTGATTGAAAATGGTGAATTACTGATGTGTTTCAGCACTGTTTCCCTTAGCAGGTTACCCACAGCTTACCGGGGAATAATATCAAATCAGTCAAAGAACTCAGCAATTTATTAAGAAAAAAACTCTTCAGGCATTAAATATGCATGTTGAGGGCAAGTCAGTCCAATTTTGCATGACAAATACATGCAAATATACCCAAATACTGACAACATCCAGCTTAAATATATATGTTTTAATTACATAAGCTTAATTGTATGATTAAGTTCTGTAAAGATGAAATTTTTCAAGCATGTGTTGTTGGACCAGTGTGAAAACAGCCTTTTAAAAAAAGATTGTTCAGTATGATAGGGGATAATATGAATAATATTGAACACAATTCTGAATTAAAAACATATTTGTGTGCCAACATCCAATAATTACATCAAATAATGACAGGCTGTTCCATTGAGAAGACTAACTGGAGATAGAACAAAAAAGAATTTTTTGGAGTACATCATATTTTTCTTAATAATTTGTCCTAATATAAAGATCAATTTTGTAAATCTGATAGAAAATGTGAATATTAATTACATTATCATGCATAAAGTAAAAGGAATCTCTTGAAATGTATTCTATCTGGTTCAAACATAAAAATCTGCATTTCAGCACTGACTTTGCTCTGTTGTGGATTACTGTGCTTGGGTCAATTAGTTCAAAGCTTTGACACACAGGTGTTTGGGGTACTTGAGAATCATCTGCTTGTGTTCAGTGTTGGGTGCTATTTAAATATCCTCTCTTGAGTACCAGCTGCCGCATCTTCCAGCGAGTGCAAAAAAAAAAAAAAAAGCATTTTAATCTTCAGCAAGGAAGACAGCTTAGAAACTTCCTGTTCTGTTCTGCTTTTCCCCATCATTGCTCCTGTAACTGCTGTTGTTCATTTGTCTCGTTGTGTGCTTTGTACGAACACAGTTATTTAGGGAAGCGTCCTAAGAAATGTCCTTCAAATGATCCTTGTTTAAAAAAGAGAATGAATCTAAATGAATTAATTTAGATCAGCTCGTTGGTCTGGTTCACAGTGCCCCAAAATAATTTTTTTATTTTTTTTTTCTGAATAACATGGACAGGAGTATGAAAGGCTGAGTACACTGATGGAAGGAAATGAAGGGAGGAAAGGGCAACCTTTCTTGGGGCATTTCTTTCCTAGATGGAATGCATCCTACAATTATACACTCAATTTTCTCTGTGAAGATAGTGGCAAGTAAATTTACATTGATTAAATTCTGTTTCTCTCTCTCTTTGGGACTACTGCATAGCTTATGAATGTATTTTTTCCCTCATGCATTGACAAACCTTTATCTTTTAAGAAAGTAACAAAACAAATGACTTCGTTCATCTGAAAAAATGCAATGTGGAGGAAATGCATTACCAGTAATATGCTCACGTACAACGTTCTTTGAGAAATTACTGCTGGTAGTCATAAATCAAAGTCAGTTCACTAATATGTAGATAACAGTAAGGTAAGTGGCTCTTAGATCTATCCTCTTGAAGCAGATCTCCTTGCTGAAGTCATGACTGGCATTCAAAAATGAGCACTGGGTTTTCTTACAGACAGTAAATACTAAAATGTTGTATTACTAAGGAGATTGTCTGTTGCAAGCCATCATTCATAAAGCAATGTCTTTTTAAAAACTGCTGCACAAAGATAATTAAAAAGAATCCCAGAAAAACAGTCTTTTTTTCCCTGCAAATGTGAAGCAGCTGATCAATTCATATTTTTGCCATAAATAAGATTTTTGTATTAATTTATTTTTTTTTAAAAGTACTAATTGATTATTTGAACCAGTACAAAATCTGTTTCGCATGCCTGCAAACTACAAATCTTGTCTGAAATTTAAAGGAAGAAAAAGTACTAAAGCAGCTTTTCAACACACACATTAGGTTCCTACCTAAAACATACACCTAATTCTCAAAAATGTAGCAACTGGTTTATCATCTTATTCTTTACCTCAATTTTTTTTAATTTTTTTTTATTTTTTTTTAAGGAATATCATGTGCTTAACATGGGACATTTGCTGACAAAGGTCTAAGGGAACATCAGCATTAGTTCCGAATTTCTTTCTTCTTGACATCTAAAATAAACCATGTGGACATTATTAAAAATCTCCTGACGTAGTTACAGCAGGTTAAAAATCTCTTGACGGTGGTTCCATCCACTGAGATGAGAAATGAAAATTCAGTGAAGGAGAAGAAAGGATCTAAAAAGTTTGATTACAGTGATCTGCACCTGCTTCAGTCATTACAGTGCCACTACAAGGTTATATTTCCATTTTTAGCAGTCGTAACGGGTTAGGGGCCTGATGTCCTTACTAAATTACAGACCAATTGATTTTTCAGTCATAGATCTAGCCTGTTCTTCTTAGACAGAAATGCATGGTAATGCTATCTTGGGATTTAAACTGGATATAGCTGTAATTTCAGCACTAACAATGTGAAATAGTTCAACACTGAAGCATGGCTCTCATGTGGAGTTTTTGAATGTAACGCTGTCCCTGGCGGAAAATTCCTGAAGCAGAAAAAAGGCTTAGCTGCCTTTTCCCTTAGATTTCAACCATTAATAATTACCCATTTAAAACATACCTACAAAAATTTTAAAAGAAAAAAAAAAAAAGAGTAAAGATTCATTTTAATTTAAGGACAATCTGCAAATAATTAATTTTAGTTTTTCCAAGTCATACAAACTCTATAGTTATAAGAATTCATGAGATATTATCGTCTTGATTTTGCCAGTTTAATCCATAACTGAAAGACAGTTAGCCAACTTGTATGTAATTTATATAGTAACTTCTACTGTGAGTCTATAGTTTTATAAATTTCATGAATAGAAAGTGGCAAACTTACAATGTGTAATGTTTTGCATAGAAAAAAATAACAAGCTGCAATGGGGAATTTAGAAAAAAATAACTTACGAGGAGAGTGAGTTATTCCATTTTTTGCATCATTCACTTCTCATTTCATATTACAATTGTGTAATTGTGTATTTAATTGTTAAAGAAAAAACAGATCTTACTCTGAGACTATGCCATAGAAAAACTGTTTTCAAATGCACAGGCTTCGTTGAGTATTTTCACAGAGCTGTGAATATCCTTTTTTATTATTTATATTCTTTCCTCTTCTTTATGGAGACTAGCAGAGCTGACCTCTAGTGTGCCTTAAAAATAAATTAACTAAGATGATAACAGGAAAAGCAGTTTCATATTACAGCCGCTCTTTTAATGTCTAGTTAAAGCACTATTAGTGAATCAGAATATTAGTGAAGCTAGAGTGCATCTTCAGCACCCCATAAAAGCAAATCTCTTACCTCAGAACTCCACTTAGTAAGGTACATTTCAGAAAAAAAGAATCCTTACTCTCATTTAGCAAAAAATTGTCATCTTAAGAGTACAGAATTGAACAATAAATTACGATGGTTTTTAGGCTTCTTTATTCCTCCCTTGAAATCTACCTACATACCTAGAGAATTATTTTTCAGATAGAAAAAATAGCTAAGATAATCGTATAGGCAGTTATTTTAAGATTATTGAAGACCAAATTACTGCCCGTATCTTTTCATAAGGATTCTCATGGAGTCGTGGATAAATGAGTAAGCCAGCAAAAGTGAGAGGCAATGTCAGAGTCATAAAGATATTTATAGTTATCTATAACACTGGTGTTTTGTTCACTATTATAGACTTGTATCAGAGGTTTTCAAGCTTTTTAATTTAAAGATAATAAAGCAAAGTGAGACCCGTCCCATTTCCATGCACTGATTCAGCTAGCATTGATGGTGAAAAGCAAGTTGCACACTGTTCCGCAAGGAAGACTATTTTTGTTTCAAAATGCAGGTAAATGTGACCTTGTACAGTGATATGTTTTACTCGTTGGTGTAGCCTCACCTGAGTGACAGATATCTCTTGGAGTAACACTGAGACACCAGCAGAAATTGGATCTTAGAAATCTGAGACGTACAGCACTTTCTTTTAGAATCATGGAGTCACAGAGTGGGTTGGATTGGATGGGTCTCAAAGATCCTTTAGTTCCAACCCCTGTCAGTGGCTGAGTTTCCAACCGCTCGATCAGACACAAGACCAAGTTCCCCAGAGCCCCATCCAACCTGACCTTGAACACTTGCTGGGAATTCCTGGGTATTCCTGAGCATAGGAGACAAGAATTGCGCCTATTTTCAGCAGATGTGTGTTTATTTAATGCCTAAAGCACATTTAAACTTAGTCTTTAACATACATTCAATTCAATTAGATAATTTGTCTCCTGATGACCTTCTTGCTAAAGACAGTTTTCAATACAGCAGCTTTTGTAATTCTCATGCTTTCTTTTTGCTATGATCTTTGGCATGGCTCACATCCCAAGACATTACAAATGACCAGAAGCATGTAGATAGCAGGGGCTAAAAGTCAAATAGAATTATCATACCGAGGCCTTCATTTCTTTCCTTAACCTTAAAAAGAAAAGAGAATCAAATCCTGAGAAAAAAATTGAAGTTGAAAAATTATACCCCCATTCTTTCAGACGTGTAATTTTTCTGAGTAACAGCACCTCTACTGCAGTTGTGGTTTGAAGCTTTTAACCATTCGAAATTATGGGAATATCTTTATTTCAAGTAAAATAAAATAAACCAGTAGCGTGAAATAAAATCGATGGGTTTTTAAAAAGAACATTTCAAATGGCTTCTGCAAGGAGGGCTAAGCATTTATTTTCATTTACAAGTAGCTAGCACTTTGGGTTCTAATTATTCACAATTATTATAAAGGCTTTCTAAAATAAGACATAATAGTTTAGACTAGCAGTTTAAAGACCTGCTTGATACGTCGAAATGAAAAGTGAGAGTATGAAAAATACATTTCATTACTTCCTGCTGCCTCACTATCTTGGGGCACTATGTTTCCAGGGAGAAATATTGCAAATGAAGTAACCCACAGAGCAATTTTATGGTGGACGTTTTCCCTTGGTGAATATAGCATTTTGACAATGACTTCCACATATATGCATGCTGTATATTTGAATGTCACTTATGGAGGGAAATGAAGAATTGCAAGAAAGGGTTGAGTCTCAGCGGATGTTAGAGAATCAGAGTGCAGAAGAGGAAGCAATTATTTACTTGAAATACGAGCAGAGTGCAATCTGCAATAGATAGATTGTACGCCTGTGCTCACGGGCGACCAAGAAGGAATTTCTGATATGACAGTGCCACAATTACAGCTCTGTCTCATTTGAAACATAATAAAGTTGGGGCCTGAAGGACATAAAATGTATAAAAAACCTTCTGGTTTGCAAGTCTCCAACTCACTCCTGAAATTCATGAGGAACAGATGAAAATAAAAATTGATGTTTCTGCATTGTTCGGGGACTGCAGTTGTTTCCTCAGTTGTATAGAGCTGCTTCTTTGGTGTAGGACTTAATTTTCACACCAAGTGGCTGCTTTGTGTTTTGTTTTTTGTTGTTGTTGTTTTTCCCCTAAGAATCAGCATTTACCTATTCTGGGTGTAATACAAAAATGTTAAAGAATTTATGAGTCAGAAAATCAAAATCTGAGTGTAATCATAGCACCTCTGGTGAGATATTATCTTTCCTTGCCATACTGTCTTGAATTACAGCAACATCGATGAATTAAAATCTATTTCCCCCTGTGGTGATACCAGCAATTAGCAAGCTGCCCACTCAGGACAAAACTCAACAGTGATATTTTTAAATGCTGCCCCTTATCATAGTAATGTTGTTTCCCCTCAACCTTCACTGCTCTAGCTTCTAATCCAGCTCCTGGAGATTCTGGTTTTTTGTGAGATGTGGAAAGCAAGCACAAGGAAATCAGATCAGCTTACTGTTGAACCTCATAAATTCAATGAGGAGTTATTTTTGTACACTATATCTAACCTATATCTAACCTATAACCTGGCAACTTGAGACTATTGCTTGTTCTCTAGGTATAATTGGTACTTCTGTTGTTTGAAGACATGAAACAAATACTGTTGCATTAAGCATCTGTATACAATGCTGCTGTTACCTTCAGCTAGTTGAAAGTTGTCAGTCTGCTGAATAAAAGGCGTGCTTACATATAAGACCCACTTCTGAGATCTCTTAATTCTGTCTCTCACATGTACTGTTATATCAGTGACCAAAACTAATGAAAATGTTGAAAAGAGTTCACGAAAAATATGTTTCTGGCATTTGGGTGAATGCAAAATGAAAAATGATTTCTTCTATTTGAAAAGATAACTTCAGGCTTATAGCCGGTGAAAGAAAACTTGGGACAGATCCTGGGAGTATGGCCAAGGTGACAGATACACTGAAACCATGCAAAACAAAAACATTAAGCAGAATAGAATTAAGAGCAATACTCCTAATTTGAAAAGCAACTTTTGGAACCCAAATGCATGGCAGTGGGAGCAATATGAACAATACTAAGCCCAGTTGATTTTTAAAAGCTAAATTTGGCCCTGTATTTTAAGCACAAGAGGCAGAAAGCAATAATTCCAAGAACGTTTTACTGTTTGGTTTTCTGACTCATAAAGTCTTTGAAATCTTGCATCTGAACAATGGAAATGAGCAGAAGGTGGCTAATGTGGAGGCATTTTAGCATATCTGTAATCAGAACTTCACAATGTAGTGAAGTTCTCCATCCAGAAAAAACACGGTATCAAACAGCCAGAAGGTGCTGGAGAGGCTGGGACCCACAGGACATCTAACCAAGAATCACAAAATATAGCCACTCTCCCCAGCTAGCATGGATGCAGGCCAGCTGGCTCAAGGGCTGCTGTTCTCCTCAAACACATCATGGATAATCGCAGCGTATTGCGGTTCACAATGAAAATAAGAGCAACCCAAAGTAGTGTTTCTCAGTTTGGGACCACTTCACCAATCGTGGATCACAGATATCTTGTTGCTTAAAGCATATTACTAGTCTTCTGTGCTTACAGATAATAAATCAGATTTTGATTTGGAAGGATATATGTCAACTGTTTTGCTGAAGTTACCTGATGAGGCAAATATTTTGCATGTGCCTAACTGAAATTCAAATGCAATTCTTCTGCAGTTTGGCGTTTAATTGGGTAATGAAGCATCTCAGGTGTTATTATTTTTTTTTTCTTTTTATATAGCTGACATTTAAATGATGACTCCCCTTTCAACTACCAACACAGTCAAGTTCAAGGCTGCTAAATATCAAGCTGAATGTGCCCAGCTAACATGTCTGTTCACTGTGGAAGGATGCAACACATCTTGGTGTATCACTTAACAGACATACCCTTAGACTGCTCCCAGGAGACAGATGCACATTCAGACAAAGACTGTCAACCCTCTATCTTCACTGCCCAAAAACTGGGAAATAAGAATAGAATGCTTTTTTTAAAAAAAAATAGAAAATAAATTGAAGATGACTGGCAACAGCTTAAAGAAGTGCAATAGAGTGAAGCACTGACAGAGCTGTTTGGTTTTGAGATGAAAAGATGTAGTACCAAAACGAACATGCAATTCTCAGTCAGTACCAAACAGAGAGACTTCAGGTGCAGGGAAATGTTTCTGCAGGAAATGTTTCTTATTTTATTATCTTGGCCTATGATGTCAGGGGCAAATGGTGGTGGTATGGCAGTAGAGAATGAACCTCCCCACCAACATTCTGCTACACATGGCTGCTCTGAGACAGATGGCAGTGGAGGGGCAGGCTCACAGAATGACATCTGACGTGGAAATACGTATGAAGCAAAGGTGTGTCACTGAATTCCTCCACGCAAGAAAAAATGACGCCCACTGATACTCATCAGCACTTGCTGAATGCTGATGGAGACCAAACAGTGGATGTGAGCACAGCAAGGTGGTGGGTGGCGACAGCAACAGCAGGCCATCACTGCTGGTGTAGATATTCACAAGCACTGCATGCAGGCTTTTGTCCCTTACTGGTGAAAATGCAAAGCTAATGGTGGTGAGTATGCTGAAAAATTCTGTTTTCTAGCCGAGAAGTTAGTTTATCAAAAATAGTGTTATTATGCTCACTGTATATGTTGCAGTTTCCACAGAAATAAGCAGGCACCCATACTTTCAGACCAATCCATGCATATTATTTCTCTATACATTCTGCAGAAGATTTTAATAACTAGAACATTTTTCAGAACACAGGTGTCATCGATGTGTTTTCATATTGAGGTATAAACAGTATTTAGATCCATAACTTTAGATAACTGAATGCCAAACAGTGCTGTGAAAAGGAGTTTGTGTAAATAATGATGTAATAATTTTACCCATTAAAACTTTTTAAATCTGTTTTCATATGTGCATTCCTCACTAAGTGTTATAAAGGATACAAGAAACAGTAACACTACTTTTTTTTTTTTTTCTAAAGAAGGAAACAGTCTCCATAAAACATGTTTCTAATGCTTTGCGCAGAGCATTTCTCACAGCTGCAGATGAGAATGTGTGTTGTGCAATTTAACATGTGAATAAGTATTTTTTGTACTGGGCAACATGACTGTTTTGCCTTGCAGTTGCAGGAACTCGGACAGGCTCTTTTGCAGAGTTCTTCTACATAAAAGCAGAGCAAATTAGGAAAATGCAAATAATTTCTAAAAAGTCTAGGGAAATGTTTGCTAAACAGAGAAACAACCTACCAGTCCTCCAGCTGTTACACTGTTGCAGCTCTTTCAACAAATCTATGGAGGTCTACCAGTTTAATAGAGGCAAAAATGCCATTCATTATAAACAAATTCTGCTTAGATCTTAGCAGGTTTAAAAGGAGAAAATTCCATGAGGATTTGTATTATTCTCAGTAATGAGTCGTCAGATACTACCCAGTGTTGTTCATAAAGAATAAACGTAACCAACAATAATTTTTTGAAGACTCTTATGGATGCTGGCAGAATGAATGGTCTCACAGAAAATCAGAAGTAAAATAGTATTGCAGCTGCTGCCTGTACAAGGCTTTCTACAGGACAGTTTGTGTAATAAGCCTGCAATAAATAATTAAAAGCTCAATTAGCAAATTATGAAATTAGGCCTTTATTTATTTATTTATTTGTATTAAAATACAAATTAAGAGGAAATAAGGTTATTCCAAACCCAAGAAAAATACATCCAAAACATGCATTTACATGTATAGATAGATTGACATCTGTTACATAATTATTTTAATTTTGAGGTGTACAAGAGGAAAATACACAGTCTATTGACTGAACAACATTAAAAACAGTGGTTCAATAATTGCTGGTTCTGGAACTAAGAAAGAATGGGATGCAAAAACATTTTTGCCCTACCTTTCTAGGGACTGAACTAAGTGAAAACCTATACCATTTTGAGAACTAAGAGTGCTTACTCGTCCTTAGCAGGATGCCAACAACTGTCACGGAAGAGAAAGTTGATGCAATTGAAGAATCAGGTAACAGGTGGCTAGGAACAACTTCAGGCAGAAAAATATCCAGGAAATATCCAGCAAACAAACTAACAAAGAAAAAAAAAAAACAAACAACTTCAGGGTTCCACGTGATTCTCAAGGACGCCCATTTCTGAGATACAAAATGGATGGACCAGTCATGAAAACTACTGCAGTATGAACTGACCTTGGTCCAACTAAAAGAACTGTTTTCCTGATTGAGAAAATGAAATCATTTCGAAAATGGTGTGGCAGGTAAAGCATAGCATTTATTATGCGTTTATTATTTATTTTATTATTTATTTATTATTATTTATAGCATTTATTATGCTATTTATTATACTGTAATATTTTGCAGAATTATCAGTCCACAGCGTAACAAAAATGCACGTACAAGCTCAAGAACTGGATGCATAGGGTTTTTACAAGACAGGGGAGTATTCTGACTGTTTTGATTTCATTTAATGTGATTGATTATTTTAATCAGAAAAAGGAAATCAAAATCCTGAAACGTAATCTTGAAAGTGTTCACCTGAGGCTTTTTTCTCCTTTTAAGTGAAACATATATAGTCTGAAATGTGCAGCGTAGATTTTTTTTTTTCTTTCCCAAGGAAAGATTAATACACTGCAGAGGATCAGAATAAACTCTTAATTTCATTTAAACAGTAGAGAGACCTTTGGCTGACTCTGCTTAGAGGTAAGTTTCATCTTGGGTGCAGACACCAGTTACTTCATCAAACAGGGTACTGGCCATTCTCAGAAGCCCCAGAGGCATGTTCAAACACAAGTGAAATCAGACAAGAACCCTTAGTATGAAAATAATAATGCTGCATTGTTCCTTTCAGGCAAAAAGGCAAGCTGAATTATTTCATTAAAACTACTACAGATTTTTCCTGGGAAATCTGTACAGTAAGAACAACACAGTTTTTGTAGTTGTTTCGTGCTTTCTGTTTTTAGTGTTTCATTTTCAGACTTCGAGGCCATGGAGTTCTAAAAAATAAAAAAGAGAGAGAAATTATTTCATTTCCCATGATTATTATAATTAGTAAGGTTTCCATTATATGGTTGCGAGACGCTGAGATGTTAACGTACATTTAAAACAAGACAAATCGGAATTCTCTAAGAGAGAAGTTGTAAGCTGCTCCAAATGATACAAGCAAGCCAAAAGATGTGGAGAGGTAGGGCTTTTTTTGTTTGCAAAGTACAGGTTTTCTGAAGGAATTGTTGCCGTGGGGCTTCTATTACCTTTGTTGACTTTATGTGGGTCTATGGGCTCTTTTAATTTCAGTGAAATGAGTCTGAATTCTGCAATTTGAAATATCCATAGAACATTCAGCTAAGCAAATTTAACCCTTCTACAATAAGAGGGTAGAAACGTGTCTAATACCAACTGACATAAACGTAACTGAGACAGAGAATTGACCTGACTGCACATTACATCTTTTGGAGGAGAAAAAACAATTTGGATATAATAGAATATAATTAAATTCCTTTATATTATTATGATCAACTTGCAGCCACACTAATAGCATGCAGAAATTTTGTTAATAAATTGAAAGTTACTTTATTAAAATTTAATGTGTTTTATTTTTATTATCAAGCAAAAATTAAACCATAAAACATTGAATTATTTTAAGTAGAGGAAAATTTCATATTCAACCCAACTTCAAAATAATAAATTTTCTTTTTTATTTTGTTTTATTTTACATGCTGTTAAAATATAAAACAAGTATGTACTAATTTAATTAAGCTTTCATGGAAGAAAATGAGAAGTGGCATATAAAGTTACTTGAGTTATTTGTTGCTCTTATATTGCTCTTTCTTATATTACACTTTTATAACATCTCAACATGATTTTGAAAACTTAAACTTCACTTTTTATGTAGAAATAGAGGCATTCCAGAAAGAGTTGAAGGAGAAGGGAAAGGGGAAAGAGTCTCCTATGTATCTCTTATCCTCAAACCTAAACCAATAATTTTCCAAGTGTTTTTTTAATGTTTGGACCTAATGAATTATTTAACTAATTAACACGATTTACAACAACTCTGAAGGTAACTTTATCTTGAAATTATATGCTTGCACTTGCTATCTATATTCCCTTAACTTTGTGCTGTCATTTCTCTCAAGTCTATTTTTAATACATAACATGCACTGAGGTTCATAAAAATATCAGACTCTTCAGAGTGCTTTTATGTGACATATTCACAGTTATTTTTAACTGCTTTCAAGACTGTTTTGGGAACTGCAGACTCCACTCTTCCCAAATGTTCCCAATGCCAATAGATGATGCACTGAAACTGCACGCGAACTGCAGGTAGAAAAGTGTGCCTAAGTACAACCCCCATACAGCACGTCAAGAAGTGGTGACAGCTAGCATTATGTGCACAGCAGCTTCATAATATTTACCATGACACACTGCTCGTGCAGCCCACAGGTTGTGTGATGAGCTTTTCAAGCTTTGCTAGGAGGAGCGTGAGTAATGAAAATATACTTCTTTTGGAGATACGGTTGGATCAGACTGGTCCCTGGTTGTGTCTTCAGTTGGTCCCCCCCGAGTAACAGACATGAAATTCAACAAACCTCTGGGTCTGCCAACTGTATTTCATTCTAGTAATCAGCTAGCAAAGTCAGTCAGCAAAAACACAAAATTGAAGTCAGGTTTATTCGGCCAAAGCATACTTAGTTCTCTGATAAATTGACTTAAAGGAACAGATATGGATATGCATACATTCTTACCTGTGCTTGGTTTCTTATACTTCTCTCAGTTCTCATCCGATTCATTTTTTTTCCCCGTCAGTGGCCAGCCCTGACATCCTAGGCAGTTCTTTCCTTGATTATGCCCTGGTTGCCTTTTGTACTGCAGAACTGCAAGCACAGTCACGCTTCCATGTGCAAACTCTCTTGAAACAATCAGGAAAAAAAACAAATAAACCCATCATTAAAAACATGGCCTCTGCATAATCAACAAGTATACAGATAAGCTAGGGTGGTCTGTAGAGAACGTATGGCTGAAAAGATTATCACATTGGAAAGGGATAATTGGAAATGAATGGAAAAGCTTACCTGTGTCCTGGGCTTGCAAGAAAAACTCCAAGAGGAGGGACCTCCAGAGAGAGACCCTTCCCCTGTGGCTGTCAGTCCTTAAATGGGGGGTCTAACAGAGGTGCAGCCAGGCTCCATCCTTTCTGGTCACACAGCTGGATCGCCTTCACCCGTGCTCGCAGGGCTGTCTCAGTGCTTGCTTCAGGTGATCGTGACTCAGTAGTTCTATACAGCCTCTACGTTTGGCTACTAGTTGAAATTATCTTTATTCAGGGATGAGAATATTACTGAAAGACATTTAAAGTGAACATATTAAGTCTAGTTTTCATTTGAACCAAAGTGAGGGCTTTATTTTTTACTTCTGTTATCCTCCTCAGACGCTGCATAGCCTGCATAATCTGCATTACAAGTAGCTAGTTGTCAATTGTGAACAACCTAAGATAAAATAGTGAGAGAGCTGAATGAGGTGAGGGCCAATACATCCGTCCTTTTTTGAGAAAGAAGCTACTGTTACAGTACCACATGGTGAGCGCGATGAGAAGATTTGTTTATTTGTTTCCAGATTGTCAGGCATTACCTAAAGAAATTGGAAAGCAAAGATGATACAGCAACAGTGGATAAACAGTAGTCCTTTAGCTCTATGCCATTTCTAAAAATCACTAGTGCTTGATCTCCTTTCTAAAAACATAAGAAAATAAACAGTTGTGACTCTCCTTGGTAAGCTGGCAGGCTACAGACGGTGGCACAGGAGAAATCTTTTCAACAAGGATCTTACCTATATACTTTGCATTTTAAAGAAAATTGACTCCCTTACCGAGTGCTTTTCATCTTGACTATGCCATACACAATAAAAGGGAAGAAAATCTGAAATGGTCAACAAATATTTGCCAAGGATTAAGCACAAAGTTTGAAGATCTTCCTGTATAATTTTTTTTTAATCATTTAATTGCCAAGAGTTTATGCAATCAAATGAGGATTGTTTCACATCTAAGAGTTAACACCCTAATATTTCGTGATGACAGTTCAATTTTGACTCAATCCAATTGGTATGAGCAATAAGGAAAGTGTATGAAATACTCTACTGTTCACTAATAACAAAAATAAATCCATTTGAGTTTTTTACTTCAAAAAAAAACAAAAAACAAAAAACAAAAAACCACACCTTTTGGTCTCAAAATACAGCATTTATCAGTATCCAAATCCTTCTTTGAGATGCTAACTGCTTTCAACCTTCTTAATTTCAAAAGGATGGGGAAAGTGGATTTTATTTCAAGTACCATATAAATTAAGTGTATTTGAACTACATAATTATTTCATATTCTAAGAATAACTTTTAATTAATTAAATGTCAGTATAATTTGAAGTAATTTCATTTGAAGTATGTGGCATTAATACCATTTTCTGTATTTCCATTTTCAAAGGCATAACATCAGACTCACTGGAATGGGCTCCCCAGGGAGGTGGTTGAGTCCCCATCCCTGGATGTGTTTAAGAACCGTTTGGATGTGGTGCTCAGGGACATGATTTAGCAGAGGGCTGTTAGAGTTAGGGTAGGATGGGTTATTAGGGTTATGGTTAGACTTGATGATCTTTAAGGTCTGTTCCAACCTGAGTGATTCTATGACCGTATGATTCTATGATTAAAGCATACTTAGCAATATTATGAAGTTGTAGTCACCAAGATTGACCATTTGCTAAAAAGGAGAATATTTTAAAAACACCCATTTTCTCTTTTTGTTGAATTCAGAATTCCAACTTCTTTGTAGAAATATGGAAAGGAGAGAGAAAGATTATAAAACTGTGGAGACTTACTGTCAGTGTTAACTTGCATTCCTTTTTAAAATTTTTTTTAATACTGTGTATTTATTACAATTAAACTATTAGTACAATTTACACATTTACCTTTCTCAAAACAAAATATTTTAATTTCATTTTGTATCAGAACTGAATACAGTGTATTACACATGAAGAATACTCCCCACAGATAACTAGTCCTAATGGCTGTCAATGCACTCGTGATTTGGTTTTGAAATCTAAATATCTATTTCTTCCAATGACATCTTCTATTGTGCAGCTTTTACTTTTTTTTGTTTCTAGCTGCTCTTAAATTTCCCATTTGGATACACCCAACAAATTGGTATATTGCAAAGGGATACTAAAATAAGGAATGTAATGGAGACAAGCTGAAATGCTCAACTTAAATAGAAAATAAAACAAGAGGAAAAATTCTTTAGTTGTAGTACTACAAGTTATTGCTACGAATTCCTGGGACGTTCTTTTATTGTAATCACAAAAGGCATTTAGTGATTAAATTATTATTACATTAATCTCAGTGACTAATGTTGTTAAAACCTGCGTGAAAAATTCAGCTCTTTCTAGAGGGCTCCTTTGTTTGTGGTTGATATGAGATTTTTTAAAGCTACTGTTAGTTTTCAAGGCCACTTTAATCTCATTTTAAGATACAAGTAAAAAAATACTGCAATACTTCATCTGATTGGCCTAGAATTACAGATTCACAGTGATTAGAGACACTGTATTACTGCACAGGCTGTGCATTAAGACCAGGTGATGGGAATGTCATTTCTAGCACTTGATGCAGCTCTCTCAGTGTAAAATACGAAGGAAAGCAAGATTGCAAGTGCCAAATGCAAGCTATCCAGCTCCAATAGAATAAGCCATGAAACTGCAGTTCCAGGGTTTTAGATGTAAATAAATAAATAAGGTTGAGTAGAAGCAATTCTTCTTACAGTTGCATTCAAGTATCCAGCACAGACTAAGCCCAGATTGGGTACCCCTACTTGAACTGTCTGCATATCTTCACAATAAAGTATAAATGCTTATCTAAACCAACGTGACAGACTATAATTTAGGATACTATGTGCCATAAGGTTACAAGAGATAAGATACTACACTTTTGAAAAGTTTTAGGAGGTGTTGGTGAAATTGGTTTGCTCAGTTCCGAGGATTCCCATTTCAAAAAGAATTTGGTAAACTTACAACATATTCACAAGAGTAAACTGATAAATGCCCAGTATAATGTCCGATAGATGCTAATCAAGCTTCATTTATTTCGTTTACAAGAAGACGACTAGGTGATAACTTGGTCATAGGGAACCAGTGCAAACGGGGAAGACAGCTGGTAAAAGTTCAGTGCACTCACATAAAAACATTATAGAAATAAAGGTACGAAGTGATCGAATAGAAGGAAGCTGAAACTGGCAAATAGAGGCTAGAAATAGAGCATAAGTAGTTAGGCAGCAACAAAGGCAAATGATCAGTGGAACAACACACGCAATAGAGTATATATCACAGATGTTAAAGCACCACCACTTCTCACTCTGGGAGACATACTTACTTACATCCTTCATGCTGATGCCATGGGCTTGATGCACATTCCTTTGAGCAATGCAGAACGGAGCTATAGTATGACCTGGGGAAAAGATGCACAGGAATCTGACAAGAATGTCCACTATTACAGGCACAGCTGATGGCAAGACCCCAGCCTCCCTTTTCCCTGTGTCACATTACTCATGATTGCATCAGTGAAGATCCACAAGACACAAGGAAGTTCCCCAGCACCCCCCCCCCCCCCCCCCTTTTTATTTTGATCAGCACAGACATACGGTATTTTTTAGTACGTTCCAATTGTAAATTTAAAAATTATCTAATTGTTAATATAATTGTGTGAGGAAAACACGAAACGTAATGTATTAGATAGGACAGATGAACCGGTAGTCCACAGGTAGGTTTTTGACAAGTTATCACATTTAGTACTGTTTCCTTCTTTAGCTTCCTTGAAATATTCAGTGTATTGTAAACAGAGTAAGTTCTATATTGCTGTACTCCTGTGCTGACCTGACCTTTCAATTAATCTCCCTTTGGTAACCAAGTATTCACTGTCATCACATCACGTCTAATCCTGGTATAGAGGGAAGCAGTACAAAAAAGAGAGGGAGGGAAAGAGAAGGAGGAAAGGAGGAAGCAGATGGAGAGTTTTTCTCCTTTCCTCTTTCAATCTGCATTTCATGTAGGTGGGCAAGCAGCTAAACATGATTTATTAATGCACATGGTCTCTTTCAAAAGGCAACAGAATAATGCTGGAAAACTTACTCCTACCAACAACTGTTTGTTTTTAAATAGTCTTGATTTTCTCTTTGAGGTACAAATGAATGAACAAGCATTTTATACTTACTCCAAACTAGATTTACTTTTGATTCTTTCATTCCATCAAACTTACAGACATCTATTGGGAATGAGAAATATGTGCAAATGGGTGGACTTGGTTTTAGAGATGGTGGATGTTTCATTCAAAGTTACACAGTACACATCCAACTAGATTTGTTTAAATTGAATAATAAATACATAAATTTTTGTATTCTATCTTCTAGTTCTTGCTGTTCCTGAATGGAAAGTTATATGTAATCTTTACAACTGTGAAGGCATCAGGTTTATTTCTGCAAGATTGCTAATCACCTGATGATGTGAAGCTTTGAAAAGAATATCCAGTGCCATGACTGCTTTGACAGAACACTGGAAAGAAACTGCACAACAATTTGATACCTGAATGACGGGCTACTGCTGTGGAAATATCTTCAGCTGCACAGTCTGTTATATATATGTGACTTGTGGATCTGTTTGGCATTAGCATGGGCAATGTTGTGAAAAATGAGCTGTGGGAATGTAGTTCATAATCCTTAGAGAAATTACATCCTATGACAGCCAAGGTACTTAAATATTAGTAAAAAATAAAATTTCTGTCCTGGACTCAGCATACTTAAGATTGCTATGTACTGATGGATACCTGTAATGAGGAAATGTGTTTTCAATTACATGTTTAGCTTCAATTAAGTATGTAGCTCCCTCCAAAGAAATTGTGGTATTAAGAGTAATAAGAATCCAGGCACAATCTCTGTAGAAATCATGATGGTAATACTTCTAAGGTGCTAACCACTCTTAAAGTTAATTTCAAATGAACCGAAATAGCCACACCAGAAGAAAAGCAGAACTGTTTCTGTATGTAGGAAGTCGCATAGATTCTAAAATGGTAACGGTCATGTTGTGGACACAGCTATAAGGTTATCAGGCTGGAATCCTTACCTGTTTTTTTGACACATACCTGAAGAAGGACAAGCATTCCTGACCCTTTTCTCCAGTTACCGTTTACTACAAGCGCACACAAAATGGAGGAGGTCTGTTGGTATCCTAGGACTCCTAATAATTCACCTAGAAAAACACACAGCATTTCAGAACCTTGGTCTCCATCCAACCTTTTGCTGAGGATGTCACCTTCTTTCCAACAGAACACAAAATGATCAAATTAATGAGACCTTTGTCCAGTATTCCTGATGAAGATCTAGAGAATATATATATTTTATTTCACTGCTTGCTGTTCAGCTGGTGATGGTACCCAGTTTCAGGCTCAGTCTGTCCCTGCCATTTATTTAAGCAGTATTTTCAGTCTTCCAGTACAAACTCAGACACATTTGTTTGTATGGTAGCATATCACCTGTGCCATGAATGCTGGACTGTCTACTGACAGACAATTGTCCTGATGCAAAAAGTAGTTTTAAAAATATTAAATCATTGTTACTTGTGAGAGGAAAGCTTTAAGATTGTGTTCTGACCAGCAGGTAAGATTTATCTCTAGGACTGAGAAACAATTCTCATCCAGGTGCTCAGCTTCACTTGGAAATCCTGGTAGGTGGTATACTATCACAATTCTCTGGACAGTTTGTTAAAGCATGTATGACAATTTCAGTGTCAGTGGCTAAAAGGAGAGAAATGATTCCCTAAAGGCCCTTTTTACTGATTATCAAGAATCCCCAGAGAGATTTGCTAAAAGCTGGGTCAGTTCTCCAGAGGGGGTCATTCCACTGTGCTCTCTAATGTTTTTCTTTCTATTATGCTGCAAGAACCCTGTTCATTATGCAAAACACTCATTCAATTAACATTCTGTGTCATCAAAAAGTATTTAAAGCTAACTTTAGGCTTTTTGTGCCGTGGCCTATTTTTCACACTGCACCGAAAGTACAACCTTTTTGTTTTACTCTAATTAGGTTGTTTCCTGCTTGAAGTGAAATATGTATTAACTACTATGTTTGAGTTTTAAATTCAATTTTTAAGGCAACTTGAGATGAAATTCATGGATAAAAATAAGTGTCAAAGACTCAAATCCTTCTTCTTGATATTAATTTTTTCTGTGACTTCTGACTCATTAGCAGTCAGCTTCCAGCTGTCCCATTTATAAACAATCTCTCTATTGACAATACAGTCTGTCACTAGCTATTTAATGCATTATGATGATGATCTATATGGTATTAAGAACACCACTGCTGTGCATCCCTCTGGGAAAGCGACTGTTGTGAATTACACTAGAGTCCTTGTTCCACAGAGCAGTTTCTCTCGTGAAAATAATGCTGTTGCTTGAATAACAAATATCATCCAGCTCTTCCAAATATGATGAATCTTCTGTGAATGCATCCTACTGAATAAGGTACTTACCCCTTAGGAAAACTTCAGATGATTTAGAACATATATCTTCCCATAAGCTTTCAGTAATATTGTGTTGTCCTTTCAAAACAGGAAAAACACTGGTTTGGCAGAAGTCTCCCTTCTCTGAGGGCAAAAAAGCCAGAATGGTTAGAAACAGGTGAAAATTTCCTTACTTCAACAACCAGAGATGTCCTCCATATGTTAGCTCAAATACTGCATCTTAGAATGAAAGATGCTTTCTGTGCAATAGCATTATATAATTCACTCTGAAAATAATACCTCCTATTTATTTCCTTGGAAATTACAACAGATACAATGAGCACAATAATTCCAATTCATAAAGCAAATTCTCAGCTACAAAACACTGTTTTTCAAGGTAGTCACCATTATTAGCTATGCATTTTCCCCAGTGTTGAACAAGAGCTTGCATGCTGTGCTAGTGAAAAAACTGTATGGCCACCTGAAACATGGCTTTTCTTTCAAGTTGCTGTTGCCACTGCTGAAACACACCACCCACTGCCTTACTGAGCTCACATCCACTGTTTGGTTTTCATAAATGTTCGTCAAGCATTGATGAACATCAATGGGAGTCATTTTTTTCTGCACAGAGGAATTAATTTTCACAAGTTTGCTTCATATGCTCTTCTATGTCAGATGTCATTTTACCAGACTGCCCCTCTGCTGCCATCCACTGCACAGCAACAACACATGATGGAATATTGGCAGGAAGGTTCAACTTCAACTGCCTTACCACCAACATTCACCTTGAACATTGTGAGTCAGCACAATAAAATGGGAGACACTGCTTTCAGAGTAGCATATATCATGCGTTGCTGGAGGATACCATTTTATCTACACATATCATGATAGTTTGGTCTTGTGGTATTACTGCCTCACTAGACTGTCTCTGAAAATACTGAGTTTGAGTTATCTAAGCATTTCATTTAACAAGTCTTCATTAATTTGATCTTGTTCTACTGCTCAGGATTTTCATATCAATTTTCCTATTTGCTTAAATTAGCATATACTCTAAGTAGAGCTGTTTGTTGTTATTCTGAGTACACATGGGGGACCTCCTTGAGATATTATTCTGCTTGGTTGGGGTAGTACTGATATCTCAACTCTCTGTTTGGTTCAAGAGTCTAATGATTTTGTGCACGTGGTTTTCTACTGTTGTGGCAGAAATTATTACAATCCTGGGGGAAATCAGGGTAATCCACACTGTTCTGTCTCTGTATTCTAATCCCTGCACGCTCCGCTGATTATTCTGTCAATGGAAAAATAGCTTTTTCAGTTTCTTGGTATGGTTATATTATTATCCTTTGTTATTCTTTCTCTACTCTGAGCTGTTTTGGTAAGAATCATTTCCAACAACATCTCTCTTTAAAAATAATCCAAAATAAAATCAGTGCCAATCTTAGAAAGCCCTTTATGCAGTGCTTGTATTTTTCTTTTGACATACCAGACGTGTACCCTTACCTACTGAAATTTGCTGTTTTATTGGAAGGAGTCAATATGCACAGAGCTGATGAACAGTCACCTTGTCCAAGGCCACGCAACTAACACAACCCTAACTAATCCTCTTATGATAGGAGGAGTGCTGTGAAGCTCCTCCTATAATACTGGAGATATGTATTTCCATGCTAGGAATACTGAGTATAAATTAGAGTATCCTGAGACACTTATGAGTCTATGCTTATGCATGATTTTTTTAATATCTCAGATTGAACACTGACACAAGTCTTTATCCTCTGTCAGAGAAAAGATAAATTAGGCTTGTGCAACTACAAATACATTCATTATTCCAGTGTTACACAATGATCAGAGGTTAATTAATCTGTTTTTCTCTGCTAAATTGCTTTTCTAGAACATGTCCTTTGATATCAGATAGTCTGGTAATGAAGAAAAATTGTGAGACTGTAAGCTGAGATCTTAAAACAGAACTTGATGAAAAGGGAAGTAGGTAGTAACTTACCTTAACACTCCACTTTTTTCTGAAACCTGAAATCCAGTAAACATGGTAGAGCACCTATGAACAAGGAAAAAAAAAAATTAAACCTTGAAAAAAAAGATACTACTTCATCTAAAAATTCAGTTCTTCAATGGTAGTGACACCAGATGGTGTATGGGAAGAAAAAAAAAAAAAGCAAAATTTAAGGTTACTTGGTAAAAAAAGCAGTAAAACTTGACTCTAAAATGCATCTAACCTGCTTCTGCTTCTTGTCTTTTATTCCTCTGTCAAAAGACCTTTAGGAGAAATTTTCCAGTACTTTTTATGCATATTCTGATATACAGTTTCTTTTATCAGTGTAAATCCCTTGCTTATTGCTGCCAGTATAAATAAAGTGTGCCTCTTATGCAGCACTATTTATGTAAATACAGAATTTTAGTATTCATTCGTTTCTGTACCATACCTTTGTTTTACTGACAGAATAAGATCACTTTTTTTCCCAGTTCCATTGGTTGTACTCACTGTCTTTCATTGCTTACTCTATAATCAAGGCATTTATACCAGACTGTTCAATTGCTAGCAAGATTTCTACCTGTAGAACTAGGGTCAAATGTGAACCTCCTGATCAAATGGGTTGACACAAACCTAACTAAGAAAACTTGAGTTCAGCATTCAGAATTACAGCACACACAGAACAAAATGCTATTGTAAATCAACATCTAGCTCACACTCATATATGCTGTACAATTTAGGATATGAAAGGTGTTGCTGTGAGCCCTCTAAGAATTACACATTTTGAAGTTTCAGCATCCCCATTCTCCCACACTTGAAATGGGCTGATGGAAAACACAATGGGAAGCTCTCTCATTTTTGAATTTAATCAGACCCTGGGAGACCTGAAAGAACATTTCTGTTCCTACGATACATGCTTTTTAGCAAATGCTTGGAGTGAGCTCAGCAGGGTGCATGCCTTGCTGTATTGTGCTGTATTCACTCTGGTAAGTCTCAGCAACACTCCGTGTTCCCCAGAGAACTGAATGAGCAACTTCAGTCCTGGAATAATAATTCTCTCTGGTAGCTTGCAAAACCCATTCCAACCAACTGAAATAGAAATGCACATATGCACACACTCAGACTCACGCATTCCAAGGAGAGGCTTAGCAGCCTGTTTGGTGTTCAGAGTCTCAAGTATTCTTCCCCATTTGCTCATACTTTCCTTCAAAGCGATCTGGCATCTTCAAGGATAGAATCAGGAACAAGAAATTTTACACGTATGATCAGGAGGAAAAGCTTGTGTCAGGGAAGTAGTCCCAGCCTCTGAAATAACACCAAATGTCATGATGTGAGCTTTTGTGGAAAACTAACCACAGCTTGCAGGTAAAGTAGATGTTTTCGTTCAACAGCAAGAGTACACAAAGATTCCGTCCTATCATACACAAGTAAACACAATCAGTGCATGCATATAAGTCAGCTGAACTGAGACATCACGTGTATTATAAAACTTTAAAGTTTTTGACTCAGCTTTTAGAGCAGCTGGGGGAATGAGCAGTACTCGCCTCTATTCAGCAAGGCTTCAGCGGTTCAGCTGGCCTACTTACATTGTCTTCAGGGGAATTTGACTTACAGTGCCGCTTTTGTCAGCGCCATTCGTTAAAACAACACATAAAAAAAGTCTCAGGGCAAAACAGGCTGTGATGTAAATACTAAACAACAGCTCTGTGTGGCCCAAATGCTCCAGGGAGGTCTCTGAGACTCTTTCTGAAACTCCCATTTTGGAAGCTAAAATTCTGAACAGATGCCCTTCTTGCACATTTGCTTAAGCTTCCTCCTCATAGTGACACTGTATTCAATAGCAACAAAGGGAACATATGACATTTTCCAAAGAGCTGCAGATGTACAATAAATCTGGCATTACTGTCTGATTTTCAATATATCACACCCTTTTATCACTCTTCGTTTTTGGCCTATGTCCATCTCAACTCCTTACTTTCTCCCTAAATCGATCAGCTGCTCCTTTCTTTTGCTCTTCCACTGAATCATCACACCATTTTGTGAGGCAACTTCATTTAAACACTGTTTTTCTCAGCTACAAAACCATCAACAACCTCAGAGACCATTTTACATACTGTTTCCTATTTGATATTTTTAACCACAGCAAATATTTTCTCCAGGACTATGATTTAAGCTATTTTTATACAAGGTCAACTTAGCACAGTTAGTTGTTATCACACATTAACCTGGTACTGTTAAGATTTGCCTCAGCTGGGCCAGATATGTCAGAGCATATCCCAGGTTCCTTAGTTCCCAGACTTGGGGCTGGAGGGTAAACTGTCCCGGTTATCTCCATTTACAGGACTAGATGCTTTTTGAGCTGCTGTGCCCTCAATATTCAGATGCAATTTCTGTCATAAATTTCGTATTTAGATTATCACATAGTAAATTTTGACCTCTAATTGTGAATACCAGTTTGATTTTTTTTTTGCGAGGGGGGTTGGGGCATACAATTGAAATTGTTTTCACCTACCATTTTTATACTCTAGTTCTAAAGAAGCAATGAAAACTAATTTTTAGTATCAAGTAGATAAAGGCTTGTGAAGGGTGAGTATTAGATCATCTTTATTACATTTGCGCAGTAATTCACTTTCATTTACCTAATAAAACTTTCCTGGATTGACTGTTACAGCCTTATCTGCCAAGCCAGACTGCTCGCTCTTTTTGTACTAGGTTCCTGCATGAATTCCAGTTTCCTTCCACAATTGCAACATCATGTGTTGAAATGCACTGTTTCTTTAAATTGGAAACTGGAACTGCAGATTTCTGACCATGGCTCTGTCATCCCTCTTCCCTTTTTTTAGAGCTGCAGTGTCTAAACTGGCAATGGAGAGCTATTGAGTGATCCTCTCTGCTGTCTTTTCCACCAGACTGCTGAGTGTTTGCTCATTTTCATCCATAAAAGGTCAGGAGGTCCAAACGTGTCAAAATTGCTTTTTCTTACTTGACAAATTCAAAGTTGAAACTTTTTGCTGAAGGCTTCAGTTTTGTCATGTACATTGAAAGCCTTCAGTTCTAATTTGAAGTCAGTAAATCATGAGAAAATATCAGAGACGTAAATGACTAGCAAGGTCATGACTCATTTTTAATGTGAAGCAAACTACTGGCCAATGAAGAAAGCAAACAGCCTGTATAAAGACAAACTTGATTGCTTGTTGAATATACACATAGAATTCAGTGTCTTCACAGCTGAATTATTTCTAGAGACACCTACTGTGCTCTTTATGCTGAAAGATGCTTTCTTATCAATTAGTACTTTCTGCTGGAGACTGAAATACTACTCGTGGATTTTCCTAAATGTGAAGCATCAGCAAGGTTTTCTATCCATGAACACAAAAAATCCAGACAACTCCAGATCTCTGGAGACAGTGGCAGCTGGGAATTTTTCAGCAATATCAAGGTTTACAAAGAAAATGCTCCTATTTTAGACATCTTAGAAATTCTCTGTAGGAGGATGAAAGAAAAGTAAAGACCAATAAAATCCCTGCACAACAGATGTTGATATTACAAGGTTGAATATGCTTTTCTTTAATACTATTTCTTTACTTAGAAAAACACTCTTTTAGTCCATATCGGAAACATTTTCTGTGAAAACTCATTTCCTCTCTCACAAGAGGTTAATTTATGAGTTAAGAATAAAATATGCACCAGTGTCAAGGTAAATGACTATCCAAAAAAAAAAAACCCTCAGTGAAGGACCCTCATTCAGTGGAAAGCTGTGTAAGACCAACAGTAACACAACACTATTAATAATGATGTTATGTGATTCTTATATCCATTACAGGAAAACAAACAAACAAACAAACACAACACACACAGAGAAAGAGATTTTCAAGTGGGCAGAGTGACTGCATCTAATTAACGTTTCTTATGGATCTCTGCTGTTTGAACAAGTTATTTTGATGAGACAGTGCTGTGTTCCACATAAGAAAGAAGCTTGCTATGTGTTAAGAACCTGTATAGTAAAGAACTAGTTTGCTGCAGATACACATTTTCTCTTTTCAACTCTCAATTGACAGCATGGTATATTCTGGATTCATTGTTAAGCATCATGATCTATAGTTATGCTTTAATAACTGCACTGAGTTCAGAAAAAGTAGGTAGTAAGGAGGCATATAAACTTTATAATTGGCAAAATGTAGTAAGGAGGCATATAAACTTTATAATTGGCAAAATATTGCTAATTCAATACCTTGGAAAGTTAAATAAATAAATCTGTGACTCTCTCCAAAGGGAAAATGCTAAGTGGATAAGAACTTAGGAGGGGATGTCAGGTAAGGAAGAGGAAGGAAAAGCAAACCAACAACCAAACCAATCAAAAAACCTCAACCACTTGGAAACGCTTTGGGAACTACTTCTCTTGGAACTGAAACTAGAGAATAGCAAAGAGTAATTCAGAGCTAATGCTTTCCTAGTTTAAAAGTCAATGGGGTAGAGGGGACACATAAAAAAAATCAGTATCCATTTCAACCACAAATCCGAAGGAATTTTTCTTCAAGAACACCTGCAAAGACATCTGATACCATGGAAATAAGAGTTTGAAGCAAGCACGTGTTCAAAGAGTAGGAAAAAATGTGTTCATGTGTCAGTCATCTGGGATACACAATTGGGATGTAACTTCAAAACTTACTGCAACAGTAATAACACACAGTTAATGAAAAAAATACATTTCAACTCATTTCCTAATGGGAAACTGTTTGCATATCACGCTATCCAAAGCCAAACCGCTTAAGGCAAGTCAGTATTTCAAACTAGATTCACTACTTGACATATTTGTATTTGAGCTGTTTAGTACTTGGAACAGATTATAGAATATAGAGATAAAAAGCTTAGCATTTGTTGTCAAAATTAATTGCTTCTCTGTATCTGCTTCTGCTTGACTAATGAGTGGACTAAAAAGGCTTTGAGTATCCTGCCTACTTAATTGAAAACATGCAAAATCATCTGTCTAGTAACTTGTGGATTCTGAAAATGGTCTTAAACCCAAGTGATCCTACTCTTTTAAATGGCAAGAGAAATGTTTCATATATGTAGCTAAGTGGAAATTCCACATATTAGTTTCAAAACAGTGCTACTAATTTACCTGACATTTTTTGAAAAGGATACATTTGAC